TTAGGCAAGTGATTTAATCTCTCTGGATTTGATTTTGTTGTGGGCTATCCACCAGAGAAGACTGCTCAACAGATTTAAACCAACAAAAAGTCTTTATTAGCCGGCTACAGTAGGTGTTCGGGATCCCAGTGTAGCACCATCAGAACCTTTCTCTGGGTGAGCTTTTAAGCAGAAAAATGGTTTAGCAGGATAGGCTCCAAAGCTACACAGAGAAACCCTGTCTCGAAAAACCAAAAACCAAACAAACAACAAAATGGTTTGGGGTCGACATACATCAGTTAACAAAAACAGCCGAAAAGCAAGATTACTACACTTAGAGACTTTCACAGAACTGGGTTAGGTCTTTATTTTCGTTTTGGCGAGTGGTGCTGTCTACATACTGAGTTTTACAGCCTGAGTGGTACTTCTATCATTAAGAGTCAGCTATGCTAAGGTCTGGGGGCCTACAAAGGTCTAGGGACTTGTTACAGTTTCCTGTTCTGGAAAATAAAGGTTAATGACAACTTGGAAGGGTTATATGAGGTGTCCACGCCTACCTAGTGCATAGTAATTGCTTTCTACAAGGGTTCACTCAACCCTCTCCTCCCACTACACTTTCCGTTGAGCCTCTATTACAGTATATTCGGACCCTTGGTTCCGCTTCCTGCTCTTAGGGCGCCTAACTGCTAGGCAAGCAAGAAGTGTTCCAACGCCCTGATCTAACTAACTTCTTAAAGCAAATCTCAGGGCGGACACGGATAAAAACAAAAGAAATACCGGAGAGTACCAAAGCAGGGACACAGTCCAAAGGCAAAGTGAGACCTGCTTCCTCCTCCCATTAAGCACTTTAGTCCCGGACACAAGGCTCAAGTGTTTTCGTGTCCGTCACCCCTACTTGGCCATTATCTATCTGAGGTCCGGTTCACCTGCTGAGCCTGTCATTCCCGGGCTGCGGGTGCAGCAGGCCGGGCTCTGCCTGCCCTCTTTTTGCAGAGCACCAGCCTGGCTGCGGTCGGTCCAGAGAAGAGGAGGAGAGGCTCATTGCCCTCCCCCCCCCCTAGCCGTTAGGTGCCCGGGTCCCCAGAGATCGGAAGGGAGCGGCAGAAGGCGGGAACGCCAGCCTCGCCCGGGTTGGTTCCCGTCCTTGGAGCCCGCGCTCCGCCCAGTCCGCAGGTGGCTTGCAGGGCGTGGGGGTCGCGAGCCAGAGCATGGGGGCCAGTCAGTCTGGCTGTCCTCACAATGATACTGGAACCCTGGGGACCAGAGGCGGAGACCAGAGGTCGGACCCTCTGGGGAGGCCGAGGGATCCCCACGGTTATCTGCCCTCGCGGAAGCAGGGGTGACATTAGACGCCCAAACAACCACAGATGGAAGTGCCTCCTCACCCCAGAGGAGTGAGCCACCCTGGCGCCGCCCCGGCCACACCACGCCCCGACCACGCCCGCAAGGCTTAAGTTCTGCAGCCGCGGGTTCACAGCCACTGTCAGTCCCGCCCGCAGTGCCTTCGGTTTGAGCGCTTCCTGGGCAGCCATCGGACACAGCCGTCGGACACAGCGGCCCTCACTCCCGTGTTCTCCTGCGGTCCGGTGAGCGTGGTCCCAGCCCTGCGCCGGCCGCACCTGGTCCCTCCCACTCCATCTCTCTTTGCTCTTTCATTTCCCTTCCTTGGAGTCCTAGTTTGCCCTCTCTTGCCCCTTTCTGTCTTTTCCCTCCTAAGTCCCTTTGTTTTTTTGTCTCTGGAGTCCATTTGGTTGTAAGGTAAGCCTTTATCCATCCACTACTTCCCCTCGGCCACGATGCACCCAGCCTGTCTTTTTTTTGGGGGGTGGATATGGGGGGTCCACGTCAGCGATGACCAGAATGACTGTCATCAGGCTGCTCTGGGCCATATGCCCTAAAGTCTGTTCTGGTTTCTGGGGTTGTTTATGCCTGGAGGAGGCCTGGAAATCAATTGGCCACTGTCAGACTCTCCAATCTGCCCAAGGCCAGAGGTGGGAGTAGGGACACAGAAGAACTGAGCCAGCCTTATCATGATCGCACACAAAGAGACACAATGCTCCACTCAACAGTCAAGTGACTGTATCCCAGCACAGTTAGGCTGCTTATCTACACAACTGTAGAAGTTTGGAACTCAGCCAGAGTGTGGGAGCAAAGACTCCTGAGTCCACCTGGCTCTGCCCCAGTGTACGCTTAACTAGACCCTGGCTACCCTGAGTGAAAACAGGTCTTGGCTGCCTCTCAGTAAGTTTGTTTGGAAGGGCTTGCGTGGCAGGTGTCCTTTCCTTTGTAGGCTGTGGTCCTGCGAAGAGAATATCCCTGTTTAAACTTGGCGTCTTTCCTCTCACCCACAGGACACATAGTATGACCTTTAAGTGTTTCGTCTCCCAGCCACTTTCTATGGAAAATCGAGGGAATCAGGCGATGATAGCCACTGGCAGCTTTGAAGAACGGGACACCTTTAGAGAAGCCTGATCCTGGAGGCCTCAGTGTGAGACCTCAAAGTTCCGAGCCAGGTGAGAGCCAGGCCAAGGATGCCCGCTGCCCCCTCTCAGGCCTGTGGTCTAGGGCTGAGGTCAGCAGGACCGTCAGAAATCCCCTCCTCCACCCTGGCAAGTGGTGCTTCACAGTTCAGTAAGCGCTTTCATCACCCTGGTCGCCTTCAGGCCCTTAAAGATGGCGGACTGCAGTGTTTAAAGGAAGAGCCTAACCCAAGTGGGACAGAACTGGTTCTAGGTCCCCCTAGCAGTCAGCAGGGGGACAGGAGCTTTATTGGGTGTTTGGTTCTGTATTTGTGTTTTGTCTTTGTGTGTGTGTGTGTGTGTGTGTGTGTGTGTGTGTGTTGTGTGTGTGAAGCCACATAGGTACCAGGGCATTCGGATAGAGGTCAGAAGACAATTTCTACCATATGGGTCCCAGGGATCAGACTCAGTTCCTCAGACTCAGTGGTAAGCACTTTTACCCATCTTGCTGGTAGGAACTTCCCTTCTAACTTTGACTGACCGGCCCTGTGAATGAGATTAGAAATTGGGTGTTAGTTTTTACTACCTATAGTGGTTACTTGTCTGGTCCTAGTTTTTGTTTTTTGTTTTTTGTTTTTTGTTTTTTTTGGTGGGGGGGTGGTCAGGATCTCACCAATATGTCTTTGGTTGGCCTATGTAGACCAGGCTGGCCTATGTAGACCACCTGCCTCTACCTCCCAAGTCCAGGAACTAATGGTATGCACCACCTTACCTTTGTATGGTTACCTTTCTAGGCCTGGATCTTATAGTTGTAGTAGGAGCTTTAGTACAGGCGATCTTTGCTTCTATATGCAACTCTCAAGGTCCTGACCTTTGGAAAACCCTGAGCAGCATTCACGTCAGCTGAGCCACGTTTTTGGTCTGGAGAGCAACTGATACTTCATCTTTCTGGGCTTCACACCATGCTACCACTTAGCTCAAGATCAGGCAGACATGCAATAGATTCTCACATCATGTCACTGATGCCTAGAGGAGAGTTCTGTTCAAAGCGTCTCAGAACTGTTTAATTGGCATGGAAGGACTTCCGTTGTGACGGGCCTGTTAAGGCCTGGGATTAAGAAAACAGGAGACGAATGAGGCAGTCCAATGCAAGCCAAACAGAGCACTTTTGGAGCCTGCAGAGATGGTTCCGAGCGCTCATCTAACAGAGAGCAGGGAGAGCAGCTGCCTCACAGCCACTCTCAGGATTTCTCAGGGTTACCTGAGTGTAGGATCAGTGGAGTCAGACCTAGGAGAAGGAGGTGTCTGCTGAGGAGTCCAGGATCACCTTCACCCTTACAATTTGTCACTCCTAGTCTCACTGAGCCCCAGGGACTCAAGCGAACATGAATCAGGTCTGGCTTTGCCCCAAGAGGTGCTCTTGAATGCGTTGCTATGAGTCCAAGTTGCCCTGATGTCCCTGTTTGTCCCAGCTGTTTTGTTTCCATGGTTGTCTGTGCTCACAGGTGACTACCACCACATCCTCCCTCCACCAGCTAGTGCTTTCCTCCTGAGCCCTAGCAACACAGGCAGCCAATCAAGCCAGGCTCAGAGCAGTTGCTCCAATGAAATCAGAGAAGTGAAACTAGGGAAGAAGCTGCTGCTGGGTCACCCTCCCCCCACTGGGTGCTGGGCTCACTTCCTCCTGGGGCAGTGAGGAGGGTGGTGTTCCAACTCTAAGAACAAAATGGAGCTTTTGGTTTCCTGTGTCTCCTGCATAGCTGTGGACCTGCACCTCCCACCCCACCACAAAGAACTGAGAATGTCCCTACACTGGAGGAAAACAAACAGTCCTCCTGGTTGCCCGGGGTCTCCTATCCTCCCCCTGTGCCTGCCAGTGAGCCTGGAGAGGGTGAATGGTGCACATCTGTAAACCTGCACCTGGGGAAGCAGAGGGCCTGAGCAGGTGGATCTCTGAGAGTTCAAGGCCAGCCTCGTTTACAGAGCGAGTTCCAGGACAGCCTCGAAAGCCATAGAGAAACCCTATCTCAAAAAACCAAAAAAGAAAAAGCAAGGCTGGAATTAACTTGTCTCTTCCTTCAGTAATTACATACCAGCCAGAACCTCCCTTGCCTAGAAACCCATGGGATTTGGCCTGCCAGGTCCTGCTCTGGCAGAACTTTCCCTTACTCGGTCAGCCCTTGGGATGGACCCACAGAACCGATCAGAAGCCAGTTGGTGGCTGTGAGGCAGCCTCGGGATGACCCGGAAGCCATAGTTCCTGTGCTAAATAAGAGGGAGCACTTCACAGAATCTCAGCTCCTAGGCAGGAATTGCTTCCCAGACCCTACTTGACTACTCTTGGTGCTCTCCCCTGGTTTCCCTCCTGGGAAGACCTGAGTGCCTTTAGGGAGCGGGGCAGGGGTAGGTATGTGGTGACCGGTGAGCGGGAAGCGAGGGGTAGGGGTGGGGGCTGTTACTGAAGGGCTTGTCTTCTTTTGGCTTAGATTCCATTCCGGCAGAGTTCCTCTGTCTCGTCTTGCCAACTGAAGGTTCCTACTTCTCCAATTTTTCTCCATCTTCTGGGAGGTAGAAGGAAAAGCAGAATCATGGTTGGTTTCAAGGCCACAGATGTGCCCCCTACAGCCACCGTGAAGTTCCTGGGAGCTGGGACAGCTGCCTGCATTGCAGATCTCATCACTTTTCCTCTAGATACTGCCAAAGTCCGGCTGCAGGTGAGGACAAAATGAGCCCCCCCTCACCCCGATGCTATCTAATCCGCTATCTAATCCGCTGCCTCCCCAGGTCAGACTCCTCAGGGGGGATGAGGAGCCTCGAGCTAGCAAGAGATTGGCAAGGGGTCTGCCTGTGCTCCCAGCCACTCCATCTTGGTCTTTCAGATCCAAGGAGAGTGTCAAGGGCTAGCGCGCACCGCAGCCAACGCCCAGTACCGTGGCGTGCTGGGCACCATCCTTACCATGGTGCGCACCGAGGGCCCACGCAGCCTCTACAACGGGCTGGTTGCCGGCCTGCAGCGCCAGATGAGCTTTGCTTCTGTTCGCATTGGCCTCTACGACTCAGTAAAGCAGTTCTACACCAAGGGCTCAGAGCGTGAGTATGCAGCTAGGACACAGCAGATGAGTGACCTTAGTTTGTATAGCTGAATGGCTCCTTTAGGCTTTCCAAGACCCCTGGGAGGATCAGAGGAGTGGAGAAGTGTACATGACCCCCATTCTTTGTTATCTGAGCACCAGGGCTGTCTTGGCTCTGAGCAAGGTGTACGTCTATGATAGTCCTCACAACTGCCATGGCAGTAGGTGGCCTCCTGGGTCACAGATACAGAAACCGAGGCTTGAAATGGGAGAGGGACTGAGACAAAGGCACAATGGAGAGACGTAACCACATCCTTTTACCCCAACAGCCAGCATTCTTGCATCTCAATATACCCTCCTTAGATGGGAGGGGGTTGAGACGGGGTCTCATTATTGGCCCTGGCTGGCCTGGAGTTCACACATCACTCAGCCTCCCAAGTATGTGTTACCACACCCTCCTAACATGTGAGGAAATTGAGCACATCAGACAAGGATGTCTTTCCCAGGATCACACTATAGGAGAGGTAGAGCTCAGCTGAGAACCTATCTCTCAAGTCCAGTTCTGCTAGGAAGAGTCACTTCTCTTGGTTTTCACAATTGTTAATGGAACTGACTCTGATTTCCCAAGCTTAAGTGAACACATTTGAGAAGTACTGTCTCCATTTTATTACTCCTTGTTATACCCCTGGGAGGACTTTGTGGAGCAAAAGTAGTCTAGTTTCACGGTGGTTTGGCAAGAGTCTTGTGTACATGAGTGCAAGCCAGGCTGGCCACTGACCTCGGTGCGCCCACAGATGCAGGCATCGGGAGCCGCCTCCTGGCAGGTAGCACCACAGGTGCCCTGGCTGTCGCTGTGGCCCAACCTACAGATGTGGTAAAGGTCCGCTTCCAGGCTCAGGCCCGGGCTGGTGGTGGTCGGAGATACCAGAGCACTGTCGAAGCCTACAAGACCATTGCACGAGAGGAGGGAATCCGAGGCCTCTGGAAAGGTGTGTACTGGGTGTTAGCTTTCCTGTCCTCCCCTCCCCTCTCCCATGCCCTGGGCTCTCACAAATGCTCCTTCCTCTGCAGGGACCTCTCCCAATGTTGCCCGTAATGCCATTGTCAACTGTGCTGAGCTGGTGACCTATGACCTCATCAAGGATACTCTCCTGAAGGCCAACCTCATGACAGGTATGTTAGGGTCAGTAAGAGCTGGTGGGGAAGGGGTCTCATTCCCTAAAGACCATGTCTTTTCATCTTATTTGCCTTTTACTTATAGAGTTTATATTTCTAACCATTTAAATTTTTAAAAAAATTTAAAAAAAAAACTCTCTCCTTAAAACTCTAGGTTTTGTTAACCCTTAAAAGTCATGGGTGATGTTTGTTACCTATGACCGGGAGGGTGGGCTGGGGAGAGCTGACAGCCTTTCCTGCTGCTCTCTGGCAGATGACCTCCCTTGCCACTTCACTTCCGCCTTCGGGGCGGGCTTCTGCACCACAATCATTGCCTCCCCCGTCGATGTGGTCAAGACGAGATATATGAACTCTGCCTTGGGCCAGTACCACAGCGCAGGCCACTGTGCCCTCGCCATGCTCCGGAAGGAGGGGCCCCAAGCCTTCTACAAGGGGTGAGCCTCTGATCCCCCCACCCAACTCCAGCCAGGCCTTACCACCTGGAAATGAGATGCAACCAAGGGTTAAACATCCCATAGTTGCTGTCACCTCTGTTTTTTTTTTTTTTTGTTTTTTTTTTTTTTTTTTTTTAAAAAAAAGGTTAAAATGGGGATTTGGGCTGGGTGCAAGGCTCAGTGGTAGAGTGCTTGCCCAGCAAGTTCGAGGCGCTGGGTTCTACTCCTCAGCTGGGCAGAACTAGTGAGCCAGGTACTCAGGAGTCTTGCTCTTGGGCACACAGCTGTGGGGCTCTTCACCAGGTCCTGTTAGCTTCCTTTGAGACAGTCCATGGGGAGGATTGCTAGGCCTGTGGTAGAAGCAGGAGGAGGAGGTGCCTCCTCCATGACTTGTGTTTTCTCTCTCTAGGTTCATGCCTTCCTTCCTCCGCTTGGGGTCCTGGAACGTAGTGATGTTTGTCACCTATGAGCAGCTCAAAAGGGCCTTGATGGCTGCCTACGAGTCCCGGGAGGCACCCTTTTGAGCGTCTCCTGCTGCTGCCCTGGACCCCGCTGCCCTGCCCTGTCTGCCTTTTTCTTCGTCCTCTGCCCAGCCGCACACCACTTCCCAGCCCCTCATTTCCCTCACCTCACCTCCCTTCCCACCTTATCTCCCTGTGCCTCAGTGCTGATGGCCCCACAGTGAGAGAGCCTGACACCAGCCAAGACCCCAAGCCCTCAGTCATTTTAACAGTTAAACCCAAATCTCTGTCTTCATCCTCATCCCAGCTCAGCCAGCCTTCACCCATAAAGCAAGCTCAACCTTGGTGTCTTCTATCTCTCATAAGCTGTGGTATAGAGGTCTTGGGCCAGTGGCCCTTTTTAGTACCTTAGCAGGCAGAGGAGGAACCCAGTGACCCACATTCTACCTCTACCATCTCGAGAAGGGTTCGTGGGGGTCGTCTAGTCCATTCTTCCAGACCCAGCCTGGGCTGAGGTGACAGAGGAACAGCCCAAGAAGAAAGCAGAACCTTTGCCCACCCTGCCCATCCCTTGTGGGCCCTGGCTCTCTAGAGCTGCCTTCCCCACCCTCACTGGCCAGGCCTGTCAATCTGCACAGTGAAAGTACCCCTGCCCCTGAACAACAGCTTGTTGGGAGATGTAGAGAAAGTCCAGAACTTTCCATTCTCTGGGGCTTGATTTACTCTGTTTCACACATAGCAACCTACCTCCCCAAGTCATAGACTACTGAGGGCAAGTTGGGCTGTCCCTAACCACACCCTGAGATATGCTCTCAACCAGAGGGACAGGGCAGGCCTGACCCACTGAAGGCTTGGGCTCATGCCCCTGGCAAACATCCACCCTGTAGGGATTTTGGTTTGGTTTGGTGTTTGAGGTAGGGTCTCACACTGTGGCCCAGGCTGGCCTGGAACTCACTGTGTAGTCCAGGCTGACCTCAAAATCATGACAGTTCTGCCTCAGCTTCCCAAGTGCTGGGATTACAGCACCATACCTGACTTTTAAGGGCCCTCTCTTGGAAGTCTTACCCTCTCCAAGCTTGGCGACCAGCTGAGGCTTTGGTTATCCAGGCTTTCAGTTTTTTCCTTTTTCCAGCTGTCCTCAGGCAAGAGAGGGAGACAGGGCTGCTTTTCAAGAAGCAGGGACTGGGGTCCCAGAACCAGACTGGGCCCATTAAGTCTCCAAGGCCCTTCCTATATGGGTTTCAAACGTCTTATGCCTGTCTCAGATAAGGGCCGATTTGGGGTGTACAGTGTCCAGGGTCCTTGGGGAATTGTATCCAGTTGCTGTGAAGCTGGGCCTGGCCAACAGGATGTCCTCCCAGCCTAAAGCTGCTGTGGCTGCTGCCTCTCCCCCACCCCTACCTTAGCAGGCCATGGACCAGAGCTAGAGGGCAAATTTCCCAATGCTTGGCAAGAAGCCAGGCTGTTAGACTGGCTCCCAGAGAAGAGTGCACCCACTTCTCAGCTTCTAATAACTCCAGTCATGGTTTCAGGCCTGAGGCAGCAAGCCACAATGAGGGTGGGCCAGCAGTGCAGCCTGGGTGCTCTTTGATGCACCATACAAGGACACAACAAATGGAGTTCCGGCCATTGTGTTACATCCTTCAGGGAACAGTTTACTACCCTAGATGTGTCTACCAACAGCTAACAAACAGGTCAAGTGAAGGCACACACAATAGTTCATTTGCCAGAAATGTGGTATAGGTGTGAGACCACTGGATTTAGGATATCAGAAGACCTGATAAAAGGGAGGCAATCATTGAAAACTGTACCAGAAGCCTCCTCAGTGATATGAGTGGGTATGTGATAAGCCCTGCTTATAGTCCAGTTATTGAGATGACAAGGATCTCATAAAGGTCTGTGGCTGAAGCCAGGCTTCCCACAGAGCCCTCCAGGAGGGTCAGCAGCCTTAGAGAAAGCCGAAAGTCCTTCTTCCACAATCTCTCTATAGTGCTGGAGGCTTGCCCTCACAGCAGGCAGTTACAATCACTTCCATGTCAGTCACAGAGGCCAGTGATTGACTCACCATCTGCTTTTCAAACACAGGTCATTATGGAAGGGTTGAATTCTTTACTGTAAAAAAATGAACTCAGAGGGTTGGAAAAATGGCTCAGCAGTCAAAAACTCTACTCTCACAGAGGACCTGGGTTCAAGACCCAGTACCCATCTGTAACTTCAATCGAAGGGAGATCTAACACCCTCTTCTGGCCTCTGAAAGCACTGTATGCATATAGTATACTAACACATACGGTACAGGCAAAACACCTTCAAAACAACAACAACAACAAAAACACTTTGTTTAAATAAAAAGGTGTGTGGTGGCACACACCTTTAATGCCAGCACTTGGGAGGCAGAGGCAGGTGGATCTCTGTGAGTTCAGGACCAGCCTGGTCTACAAAGTGAGTTCCAGGACAGCCAGGGCTATATTGTGAAATCCTGTCTTGAAAAACAAAAACAACCAGAAAAGGGACCAGAGAAGTGAAGTATCTGACCCAAGGCCCATATTTGACTGCTACCCTGAGATGCTTCCTTGAGTCCCAGAGTCTTTATCTCAAAGCTTGGTTTTTGGTTTTGTTTTTAGAGACAGGGTTTCTCTGTATAATCTTGGCTGTCCTAGAACTTGCTCTGTAGAGCAGGTTAGACTCAAACTTAGAGATCCACCTGCCTCAGCACCCTCCCTGGCTGCACTGGGATTAAAGATGTGAACCACCACCCTTAACCCTGAATCTTAAGGTTTTACTATTGCTGCCTTCTTGGTGGTTCAGAGATGGCTGCAGGCAGTAGGATAATTTGAGCCCAGGGGTTTGGAGCCAGCAGGTACAAGACAGAACATCTTCAAAAACAAAATATTTGCCAAGAGCTGAACACCGATTTAAAAATGAACAAAAAGAACCTTTTAGTTGGTCATGGTGGCACATGCCTACAATCCAGTGTGTGGAACGCTGCAGCAGGAGGATCAGGGGTTCAAGGATAGCCTCAGCTACCTGAAACCCTGCCTCAGAATTTAAAAGGACAAAAACTGGGTGTGGTAGTTCATGCTTTTAATTCCAATATTCAGAAGGCAGAGGCAGGTGGATCTTGAAGTGTGAGGCCAGCCTGGTCTACAAAGCAAGTTCTAGGACAGCCAGGGCTAAACAGAGAAACCCTATCTTGAGAAAAAAAAATTTTTTTTTAAATTTTTGAGACAGGGTTTCTCTGTAGCTTTGGAGGTTGTTTTGGAACTCTCTCTGTAGACCAGATTGGCTTGAACTCACAGAGATCCATCCATCTCTGCCCCTGGAGTGCTGAGATTAAAGGTGTGTGCCACCAATGCCCAGAACAAAAAAAAAAATTTTTTTTGAAAGGTCAAAAGGAAAAAAAATCCTTAAACTGCTATGGTACTCAGAATGGCAGGATTCTAAACAATGCGGATAATCTGGTTTTTTGTTTTGTTTTGTTTTGTTTTGTTTTTTCCTCACATCTCAGAAGCTATTGAACCTGCTTGCTGCCCATGAGCCTAGACCTCATCATAGCTTAAACTCAAACCCCAGACAGGGTGATCTCCTCAGCATGGATGAGGAACAAAATGTTGTTAACTTTGAAGGCACTGGTGAGGGTCAAACAGCCCTGGCTACACCCGGAAGCCGGACCTCCTCCAGGCCACCTGGGCAATGAATGTTGTTGTGACCCTGGATAATCTGGTTTTTTGTTTTGTTTTGTTTTGTTTTTTCCTCACATCTCAGAAGCTATTGAACCTGCTTGCTGCCCATGAGCCTAGACCTCATCATAGCTTAAACTCAAACCCCAGACAGGGTGATCTCCTCAGCATGGATGAGGATCAAAATGTTGTTAACTTTGAAGGCACTGGTGAAGGTCAAACAGCCCTGGCTACACCCGGAAGCCGGACCTCCTCCAGGCCACCTGGGCAATGAATGTTGTTGTGACCCTCTCTATAATCTAACCATGAGTCTACCAATGACCCCAGTCCTCACAAGGGTAGGCAAGGTGTAAGCTCTACTAATGAGGTGAGTTAGTAACCAATGCAATAGTCAGGGGCAGACCTGGATGCCATGCCACCCAGACAACTGGCCCAGAGGCAGCCTGAGCCCCATCTCACAAACACAGAACCAGGGCCAGAGGCAGAGCTCTTCTGGCATTGTGTTCTGGGTGTGACTCTAACTGAAGCCTGTGAGTCTATACAGAGTGGCCTAAGGTTCTGGTGGCAGCTTAGCCACAGACACTGGAGTGCAGGTATAGGTCCTATCTCTCTGTGCTTTGCTTTTCCTGTCTATTTCTCATGACAGCACAGTCCATAGAAGGTTCCTTCTACACATATACGTTGTGAAATGGCAAGAGTAGAGGGACCTCAGACAGGGCCAGTCACATAGCCCTGCCTCATTCTACCGAGATGGAAGCAAGAGGCTCTGAAGTCTCAGGGAACAAACAGTCCATGACTAGGAGGCCAAAATGGGGCCTCAGGTGCCTAGCTTTTTGGAATCCTACAGGAAGGCGGAGCAGGAAGCATCTCTCAGAACACTCCAGGTCATAGCTAGAGGACAGGAAAGGAATCTTTATTATATCAGCCTAAGTTCTCATGCTATCTTCATAGGCTATGGGGGTGGAGTGGGTAAGAGTGGCTGAGGCCCAGCTAGCCCTCTCCATCCCTGCTCCCGCCCAGGTGTCCCAGAATTAGGTCAGCAATGCCTGGCGCAGCAACTGCTTCTTCTGGGGTGTGAGGCGGGTGGGGAATTGGATGTCAAAGAAAATGAAGAGGTCCCCCTTCTTGGTAGGGTCCTCAGGCAGTGGCATCCCCTCACCTGGCACCATCTTGTAGTACTTAGGGCTGAGAAAGGGAAGGATGAAAGAGAAGATCATAGGAGTGTCCGAGAGAGTGTCCAGTGGGTCCACACCACCCTAACTCCTAACAGGACCACAGGAATGGGCTGTTATTGCAGCTTCTCACAGATGGATAGTCACACATGCTAGAAAAAGTGGCAGACTGGCTTGTTCCAAATATCACACCCTAGGAATTGTGCAACTCTCCCTAGGAAGCAGGAAGCAGACTCTGGAGGTTGAGTCAACCTCCCCTCTCTGGAACCTTCCTTGGAAAAAGACTTGGGGTCCATGTATGCATTCTCTGATGAGGAATTTGGGGGATGGAGGCAAGAGAGTGACCGACACTGGGGTTCTCCGGCCTCTACCGGGGCTTCATACATATCAGAAAAAGGCATCCCTTCTGTAGGGTGAACACAGCCCATGGCTCAGCCAGAGAGGTTGGCAGATTTGAGTTTCGGCCTGGGAGGGAGACCCTTCTGTGACTGCAGCCTGAGCAACTCCACCCTCCAAGTATCAGTCCACCCTTTCTTGTTACTAGATGGATAGACTCACTGGACGATGTCATTGATGGGGATGTTGAGCAGACGGTCATCTAAGGTCCTCACCTCCACTGTGCAGCAAGTAAGAGCCTGGGGAGATTCAAATGAGAGGTGGGTATGCAGAGTGTCACCACACTCTTTCTATTTAGAAGCATTCGGGAGCCTACTTGGGTTCCAACCCTGCGTTGGACACCAGGGAGACAAAAGGCTGTTCAGGAACTACTTGTGAATGTGCCGTGACCTGCCTTCCAGTTTGAAGTGTGGTAGGTCAGACTGGTGATGACAGAGTGTAAGGTTTTGAGAGGCAGAGATGACAGGCTCTGTGGGAGGAAAAGCCGCACAGCAGTGACAGTAGCTGAAGAGCCTCCAGGGTGAGGTGAGCAGGTGTGAAAGTGCTCCAGCCAGACAGGTGTGCTCACTCTGAGGCCTGAAGTGCAAAGAATGAGCAGCACCTTGAAGAGTATCAGCTGGATATGTTGAGATGGGGGGGGCAGCAGGGTCAGGACGGTGTGTGGAAAGATGGGGAGGTGAGCAAGGAAGGAAGGAGAGCCACAGGACCCTGTGACTTCTAGAAGTTGACTGGGGAAGAAAACATGAAGCCTAATTAGCTGCTGCAAGTGGAGTTCAGTCTGGGTCCCCATGCCCTTCTGCAATGTACCCACTCACCTTGCCCAGAGGAATGGGGTACACAAAGAGGAGGTTGTCGCGCTCTCTGCGGAATCGAGGGTGTAACTTCTCCTTTACGACGAAGATAATATCAGCTGGGATAATGTTGGGGCCCTGGGTAGGGAAAGACAAGAGGTAACAGGTTTATTGTTTGTATGAGTTGGCCAAGTTCCTGCCTCTACTTGCCTCCAGATTTTCACCTGTGCAATGGAGAATTATGCCCAGTTTTCTAAAAGGGCCATTCAGTGTGGCCTTGGACCACTCCCTAAAGACGCCTACCTGGATCATTCCCTACTTTCAAAGCACTTCTCTCCGGAGCATGCCCAAAGCAAATGTACTCAGTGGCATGGGGCAGGACTTCCTTGTGTGACAGCTGGACACTAAGCTGGCCCAGACATCTTCCCTGCCTAACAGTAACCCAGCAATGATTTCTCTGCTTCAGTGAGACACTCTGAATACCAACCTCTCTTCTGGTCATTGCAGACAGAAAGTGAGGCCAGCTGCAGCTCCCAGTGCAAGAAATAGCCAGATGGGGATTCCTCAGAAAGCTCAAGGCCACCCTCGTCCATGCGAGGAGATTGGGAAATATTCCCCAGAGCGGGGGATGTTGGCACTGGGTATCTGTGTGCTTTCCCACTTGCTTATGACAGGGTCTCACTCCATAGCCCGGAATAGCCTGGGATTCACTATATCACCCAAGTTGACATAGTCACCAAGGCTGAACGTGAATTCCTAGGCTCAAGCGATCCCCCTGCCTCAGCCTCCTGAGTAGCTTCGACTCCCAGTGAACCATGTTGAAGGGTGATTGTTGAAAGCAAGTATTTTAAGGTGAGAAAGAGAGCAGATATCGGCAAGGGAATTCCTCTCTCTGGGCTCTGAGCTCTCCATTATACCACTTCATCTCAACATGTAAGGACTAGGCACTCTAGCATAACAATTCAATGTTTTCCACAGGTAAGTGTTGCAATTCCAAATCATCATTAATGGAATGCTTCTGAGAAGCCTCTTTCCTGGGGCTTTGTTGGGAATTACTACCCAAGAACACTGTAGGGGAGGCTGAGTCTCCTGCCAGCTACGTGTGTGCGTGCAAGTGTGTGCATGCCTGTGCGTGCGTGCGTGCGTGCGTGCGTGCGTGCGTGCGTGCGTGTGTGTGTGTGTGTGTGTGTGTGTGTGTGAGGGCATATACTCATGTGTGTGTTAGAGGACTAGGAGAGGACTAGGAGCTCACATCAGGAATCTTCCTCAATTGTTCTCCAGCTTATTTTTTGACTCTAGAGGACACTAATTCATCTCGATTGGCTGGCCAGCAAACCCCAAGGACCTTCTGTCTCTCTGCCTTGTCAGCCCTGGGATTACAGGGGCGCCTGGCTCTAATTGGTGCTGAGGATCAAGTCCAGGTCTCCATCCTTGGGTGGCATTGAGCCGCCTCCCCAAGCCCTTCTTTTAGCTTTCTGTTTGTTTGTTTGGTTGGTTGGTTTTGATTTTGGTTTTTCGAAACAGGGTTTCTCGGTGCAGTCCTGGGCGTCCTGGATGGAACTCACTTTGTAGACCAGACTGGTCTTGAACTCACAGAGATGCACCTGCCTTTGCCTCCTGAGTGCTGGGATTAAAGGCATGTACCAACACCATCCAGCACTTTTTTGTGTTCTTATCTTGAGCAAATCCCTTCCTTCTGTCTTGGGGCCTCAGTTTTCCAACTATGTAAAATGGTAATTCTTCCAAGCTGCATCCACAGAAGCATTCTGAGGCTCTGTCCTTGGGATGAGACTCTAGAGGCATATCACTCTAGTAGATCAGAGTGTGTAGGGACAGGAAAAAACATGGTCTCCCTCCCTCTCAGTCCTTCCACCATGTGAGTCTGGTGACTGACCCGAGCCAGCTTCTGTCCCTCTCACCTGGTCCCCTTCCTTCTCAAAGGTGATGCGTGTGCCCTGCCTCCACCCAGGCCTCACATCGATTGTCAGGATCTTGTCCTTGATGGTGGAGGAATACTTGTCTTCATTTAGCACCTACAGTGAGAGGGGGTAGGGGCAGGGGTGGGGATTAGCTCCAGGGAAGGCTCTGTGGAGTCCATGCTCAGACAGTACTCATAGCAATGGGGATGAACTACTAGAGCCATTTCCACTTCCATCCCACTGACACTGCATCTAAGAGCCTGTGACTCTCCAAGGCAAGGCAGACTGATGAAACTGTGGCCTGAGACACCAGTCACCAAGAGCTCTGGTCACAAACAGGAACACAGTGAAAGGTGTCCTTTTCCAAATCCCAGAAATCTGGCCTAATCCCAAAGTCCTCCCTGGCCTACCCTAGGCTCCACTGCCTCTCGCTGTCTAGTACATGACCACTAGAGACCCAGACTTCAATTTCTAGGAAGGTATTGGTTGATATGAATAAAAGAGGGGGCTGGTCACAAGAGTGTATCAGACCTCTCAGAAGGCAAGATATTGAACCTCATACAAAGCATGCTCCCATCATGTCCCCAGTTCCGTGAGCCCACAGTTCCACCTTTGGAAAGCATGACCACAACAGCCATCTCCCCCAAGCAAAGGGGAGGAAGAGGGCTGGGCCGCAGGCCAGGGTCAGGCCAAGGACTGAATGCTGCAGTTGCTCACAAAGGTCTTCCCTAAACTGTCACCTTAGAGACTAACTACCAGCCCACCTCCATGTCCACCCTGTGGCCATGCACACACTCCTTGGGATGTGGTCTGGAAATACCCTGGAATTGACTTCATTTCCAGGGAGACTCATCTCACTCCTACTCCTTTACTTTCCACAAGGGTGGGGCTGGACTGAGAAGGGGAGGATCCTGTCCCCATGAGGTGGCTGCAGAGGTGACTTCTGTACAAGAAGGGTGAATCTCCTCCATTATTCATTTCAAATTTCAGATTCTAGAGTTCTAAAATCTAAAATTACTGAGTTTCTTGGGCTAAGGTTTGATAGTTCCATCAGAAAGGATCGCTGAGTTGTGGGGAAGGGGAGGTGACAGGGAGCTTTGTAGGGTTAGATGGTGCATGCTAAGAGGAGCAAGCTTACCCTTCGGGAGATCTTAATCTTTTTGGTACAGCCAAAGAATAAGTCCTCCAGGGACAAATAGAGGTCTCGTTCAATTGGAGGGTCTTGTTTCTGGACTCCTCGGCCCCGAAGCCCCCCAAAGTTCAAATCTATATCATTTCCTTCTGCATCAAAAAATTCTAAAGGAGATAGGAAAATGAGTAACAGAATTGATGTCCAAAGACACAAATCAGACAGATGGCAGACAAAAAGACAGACAGACAGACAGACACACACACACACAATCCTACGCTGTATTCCCTTGAACCTCTTCAGTGCCCAAGGTTCAGCTCATCATTCCCACCTCTCAGAGCCACAGAACAAGGAACCATTTGTTTCATTTCATTTGGTTTTAGCCTTGAACTCAAGGCAATCCTCCTGTTCCAATCTCCTGAATGATGGGACAACAGGTGTGAGCCACCACACTTGGCTTCTAGAAGCCTACCATTAGCTATTAGCTACAGACCAGTGAGCATCAGGCCTGCCAGGCCCCAGTGCCTCCTGGGACTCCCACTGAGCCAGGTGCTGGCAGCTCCTGCTTCGTGAACGAGCTAAGGCATCGCTGTAAGTGGGAGACCCTGATAGTGCCGAGAAGACTCCATTCAGACAGAATGGGTCAGAACCACCTGTCCACTCTACTTCCCCAGGCCCTACTGGCCCCTCTCTGTCCACTCCCATGACTGTTCTAGACAAGCAGACAAGATCTCTGGGATGACATGAAGGACTTGGAGGTGGATGGCAACTGTGAGTGGTCACCAGCGTGCCTCAGTCTCCCTTCCTCACCCTCATCTACCTCTGCCTGCCCTCCATCCAAAGCCTGCCTGATGTCCTTGCCTTTAGCCTGGTGGCTGTGAGAGAGATACCTTCCAAGTCTGCTTGGAGTACTGTAATCCTTTAGAATTCAGTTTTTCAGTCTGTGGTATGGGGTAATGCTTGTCCTGCCTACACCATTAAGATGAACAGCTAAACCCTGGGAGAGCCTGCAGTGAATCAGGCTCTATACTCAGCGACTTTCCTCTTTACTACTTCATTGCTGGAGAGGCCAACAGAATGCTCACAGCTCCATAGCTGGTTGAGTAATGGAGTTGGGACCTATACCACATGACCACTTGGCCACAGCCTTGGTCACTATGATATATTGCTAGCTGTGGGCCCTTTGTAGACTGTGGAGTGAGAGGACCCTTTGTACTCTGGAGTCAGAGGTGGCTGTTATGTACCCTGCTTCAGGTGGTTAAGGCCATGGAATGAGTGTGTCAAGCTAGATGGTAAAGTGTTCATTAACAGTAGGAGATTTGTGCAGGGATTTAAGATGTGATGGCCGGTAGCCAGTGTCACGGCTCATCCAGTAAAGGCACTTGTCACCACCAGTGCCTGAGGTGGAAGGGGACAACTGACTCATGAGGGTGGTCCTCTGATTTACACACTCTAAATAAATTAGTGAAAGTTCTTTTTTAAAAAGAATCAAGGAAGTAGTTCCATGATAAAGTCTTCTCAACCTTCCTAATGCTGCGACCCTTTAATACAGTTCCTCATGTTGTGGGCATACCCCAACCATAAAATTACTTTCATTGCTACTTTGTAACTATAATTTTGCTACTGTTATGAATTGTAATGTAAATATTTTTGAAGATAGAGGTTTGGCAAAGGCGAAGTGACCCACGGGTTGAGAACCACTGCTCTGACTATATAAGGCCCTGATTTCAATCCTCAGCACTGTAGAATATCTTTAAAGACAGAGGAGATTTCTGGAAGGACATGGGGGATGCTAACATAGAATGGCTGCATCAAGGAGAAGAAAGGAAATGGAGGGCTAGAATATTTTCAGTAAGTTCCATTTGAATTTCGGTGTTGTGGTTTACATGTGTGATCCCAGCACTTGGGAAGCTGGAGAATTTGAAGCCTGCCTGGGCTAAAGAGAGAGTTCCAGCCTCAGATAAAGAAATGAACAATTCTTTTTCTCTCCATGTACTGTGTTTATTTCTCAAAGAGATAAAACAAGGCTGGATGTGGTGACTCACACCTGTAATTCTAGCACTTGGGTAGCTAAACCAGGGTTGCCATGAGTTCAAAGCCAGCTAGACTACAAAATGAATTTGGAGCTACATGCACTACAGAATGAGACCAAACCTAGGAGGCTGCAGAGACTGCTCAGTGGTTAGAGCTCTCGAAGAGCTCTTGCAGAGAAGCCAGATTCAGTTCCCAGTACCCACATGACGACTTACGACCATCCCTGATTCTAGTTCCAGGGGATCTGATGCCTTATTCTGATCTCCTTGGGCACCAAGCACACACATGTGCACATTTCTACAGGCAAATAAAATAAACAAATCTAAAATTAAAAAAAGAAAGAAAACTGGGTGTGGTGGCACATGACTGTAATTCCAGCACTTGGGAGTCAGGGGATCAGGAGTTTAAGGTCATTCTAGGCTAAACAAAGAGTCCAAGGCTGGCCTGGGATACATATTTCAATAATAATAATAATAATAATAATAATAATAATACAGAACAAATAAAAAGCAGCCAAACATAACCATCAAGAAAGGTATTTTCTGTAGCTGTGTTCTTTACCAGTAAGCAAGGGGTAGGCTGGGATTCTTACCACTGAAGGGGTTGTCTCCCCCAAAAAACTCATGAAACACTTTATCAGGATTGCCATGGAAGACGTAGCCTGTTGTCCATGGAGTCTGGGATCCAAACTCCAGAGGAATCCCACCTTTCAGGCCTTCCTCGCCAAACTTGTCGTAGATGCCTCTCTTCACAGCTGTGGACACATGTGACCTTGAGGAGGGATCCGGGGTGTGTGTGACTGGAGAGGCTGGGGGGCAGTCAGAGAGCTCAGGACGGTGATGGGCAAGGATAGCTCTTGCAACCTGCTGCCTAGAAGTCTCTACAAGTTAGCACGTCAGAGTTATTCATCTATCCTATAGATTCTATAGGATGGCCAGACAGCCCAGAAAGCCAATGAGAAAAATTCTACTGGGATGGGCTTTTGGGAGGACATAGGAGACTGAGGGTCAGGCACACACCTGGGTTTGGCCTAGTTCAGTCTTGGGAAAGAGACTAGAATTCTAAAACATTAAAATTTTACAATCTAAAGAATTCTCAACTTGCAAACTTTAGAGTCCTGAAAAGACAGGGCTGGAGAAGTTACAATCACAGTCCCCAAACCAGCCCTTAGAGAAGCCAATTGGGCCCCCAAGATCAGCCCCTAGAGAAGCCAGCTGGGCCCCCAAGACCAGCTCCTAGAGAAGCCAGCTAGGCCCCAGACCAGCTCCTAGAGAGCCAGCTGGGCCCCAAGACCAGCCCCTAGAGAAGCCAGCTGTTCTTTGCTGGGTGGTGGATTGTCCTCACCACACACAACTGATTTCCAAAAAGAGATTTCCTATGGCTCTATGCTCTCTGTGGCTGTCTGCTCCCACTGTCCCTGGAGGTAGTCTGGGAAGGATAAGTGAGAATGGCTGCTCCTCCTCAGCCCTCCACCCCAGCAGCCACGGTGCTTCTCTGAACCTCAGGAAGACTCCTCTCTGCCCGGCTGGAGGCAGGGGAACATGCCCTACTTCCGCACTGCCTCAGCTGGGTGAGCGATAAGCCCATCCACCTGAGGGCCCGGTTTGCCCTCAAATTGTCTAGATACTGGGCAGGGAGGATGGTTGCTTACTGTCTCCTGTTCTCCGTAGAAAACCTGACTGCCTAGACACTTGAGGAATGATCTTAACGCAGGGCTGAGTGACAGCCCCATCCATTATCACTCACGGTCGCTCAGCACATCATAGGCTTCTGCTATTTGCTTGAATATCTCTGGTGCAGATGGCTCATTTGACTTCAACGGGTGGTTCTTCAGGGCAAGTTTCCGGTACCTAGAGGAGGGAGGTAAAGTAAGCCCTTGTCTCCGACCTGCTTCTGAGGGCTGGAGCATGGCTCAGGGCTGACTTTTGTTATCTAGCTTTGTTATGAACCGTGGAAAGCAGCACCGATATCAGTGGCTGTGGACAGACATCAGTGACTGTGGGATGTGCTGCTCGTATCTGTTGGAAGAGAACTTGGAGTAGAGAGCACAATTCTCTGGCAGCCCTGACAGCTGCCACCTAGACATCTGTTCTAAGGTTGCTTGTCCCCTTAGCTCCCACAGCCAAGACCTAGTGCAGGTAAGATTTTGTGACAGTCTACCTGTGAGACACAGACACCCCCACATTAGCTTTTGGTCAAGAAGAAATACTTATATTGGCTAATAGTTTTCATCCATGGTTGGCTTGCACTGTTGCTTCTAGGCTGAGCACCACGGCAGGAGCAAAGCTGCTCACCCGCTTTACAGCCAGGAAGGAGAGCCAGAAAGAGAAGGGGGGAGGAAACAGAGATGGAAGAGGGAAGGGGAAGGAAAGGGAGAAAACAGGAGGGGGAAGGAAGGGAAGAAAAGGGAAACACGGAGAGGGAGGATCTGGGGACAGGACATCAAAGGCCAATCTCCAGAGGCCTGCTTCTTCTAATAGTCCCTACCTTGTAATAGCCTACTCCAATATGTAGGGATTGATCTCTTAATCAATTAATGATTAGTTAATGATGAAATTTATACCCTCATGAGCCAGATGTTTCTCAGTAACACAACCTGCTAGGAGCCAAGCCTTTTACATATGAGCCTTTAGAGGGGTGGGCTCTTCATGTTCAAACCACAACCTGGATTAAAGATTCCCCACAGGCCATACTTAATTCTCCCTACCTGGCACTGCCTTCCCTTTCTTTTCACAGGTCTTCGGCCATCACTGAAGTCTGAAGTCTCCCTCTGCTTATTTGCAGAACAAGTTCAGGTCATACACTATTTCCATCTAATTCTGTCTCTACTTCACAGAAGACCAGGACTGATACAGGCTTCTCAGGTGTATGACAAGCCCTCAGGTCCCATCAAGCCCTGGCACTCTCTTCCTGTCCCACTTACTATCTGCCATCCCATCACTCAGTCGCAGGACACCTGCAGCATCTGAGGACACACAGAGTCAAGAGGGACGAGGTGGAGTGGGTGCTCTGTGGAGAGTTTAATAAAGGGATCATTCGCCAAGGTGCAGGAAGGAGACCATCACAAAGACAGTGCAGCACCTGAGTTAGACGTGCTGGGCCATGCTGACCATCCGGACCTCTACGAGGGACAGCAGGGAACTGTACTAAACCCTGAAGGATGTGGACATGGCCTGGCAGGAGCTGAGACCATCAGGTAAGAGATTTGAGCAGCCTGGAGAGCGCCCATAGGAAGGAAACAGTTTCAGTGAAGCTGAAACTTGCTCTCCTCCTCTACCCTCTTGCTTCCCCCCTACCCCCGCCCCCCGCCACCTCCCCCTTTAGAGACAGATACAGGGGAGGCATGTGGGCAAGGAAGCCTGCTGCTGCAGGGCGTGGCAGGGAAGGCAAAAGAAAACATCGAAGCCCAAGACACTCAGTCCCAGTTCCTCCCCACACAGCCCCTGCTGGGTCTGATTTGGGCTCTTGTCCCTGTCCCAGCCCAGCCCTCCCACACAGCCGTCTGGAGTTCGGGATTCTCTTCTCATTTCACAGTCTGCAGGCTGAGCTCATCTCTCACATAGCTGATGCCAACCTCCCACCAGCCTGCTTCCCTGAGCTGCAGACATTTGTGCCCCGCCACTGCATTTCACTCTCTTCCCGCCAGACTCACAGCCCAAACAGGACCCTCATTACTCCCCAGGTGCCACAGCTGGAAATCTAAGTATAGTCTTTGACTCCCATCCCAGTAGTCACCAAATCTCATAATTTCTCTTCTTAAACATTCTGCCCAAGCCGGGCGTTAGTGGCTCACGCCTTTAATGCCAGCAGAGGCAGTCGGATCTCTGTGAGTTCGAGGCCGGCCTGGTCTCCAGAGCGAGTGCCAGGATAGGCTCCAAAGCTACACAGAGAAACCCTGTCTCGAAAAACAAAAAAAAAACAAAACCAAAACCAAAACAAAACAAAAAAACACTCTGCCCTGCCTCTCCTTCCTGAAACCAAAACCAAAACAAACCAAAACAAAACAAAAAAACACTCTGCCCTGCCTCTCCTTCCTGAAACTGTGACAGAACCATGTCTCCCTGCAACCACAATAACCCAGTTCTATCCTATTGCGAGCTGAGAATGGGTTTCTCCCTCTATCCCTTCCTCCTACCCCCTCCTTCCTCCCCTTTCTTCTTCCCTCCTTCCTCTCTCCTCTCTCTTCTTCCCCCTAAAATACTATGGCATCACTCTCCTATTGAACCACTTCACACTCATCTCATCAGGCAATCCAGACACCTGGAGCTAAGGTTCAATCCCCTACTTTCTCTCCACAATAACATCTCTTTTCTCATCAGCTGTCTTGAATGGGAGAGAAAGGATGATGTCATGGTTTAAAATGTACGGGACGAAGCCAGGTGTGGTAGTATATGACTGGAAGGCAGAGGCAGGCAGATCTCTTAAGTTTGAAGCTAGTCTGGTCTTTATAGCAAGCTCCAGGCCACCCAGGGCTACATAGACCCTGTCTCAAAAACAAACAAACAAATAAATGAAGTGTGTGTGTGTGTGTGTGTGTGTGTGTGTGTGTGTGTGTGTGTGTTTGATCCTGGTACATGCAAATGTCATAATGAAACAGGGTACGATAATGAAATAATGAAACGATGGATATATGCTAATAAAAGGGTGAATGAGTAATACTGAAGAACTTGATAACTTGATGATCAGCAATCAGAATGGAGGTTTTCTTCCATATACAGGCTCGGTATTTTGTGAGTGTGTGCATGCATGCATGTGTATGGAGGCTAGAAGTCAACTTTAACTGCTTTCTGCTTTTTTTTTTTTTTTTTTTTTTTTTTTTTTGCGACAGTCTCTCACTGTCCTGGGGCTCACAAATTCTACTACAGCAGCTGGTCCTCAAGCACCAGGGATCTGCCTGTCTCAAGACATCCCCATGAGAGAATGTAGCATTCACAAGGCTCAAGCCTTAAAAGTTGCTACAGTGGAAGAGTTATGGGCTGTCAACAGGAACATACAATTCTTTTCATTACTCTTACCTCATGCTTCCATCTGCCAGGGATTTCTGGGTATTTTCATATACAGTATCGCATCTGATCCTATTTTAATCCTGAAACAACTCCTGTCCTTTAAAAACTGTGTGTGTGTTGCCTATTTGTGTGTCTGTGCAGGTTCACATGTGGGCACACCCATGTGGAGGCCAGAGGACAACCTCTCCTCTTGTCCCTCTGTCCACCTCAGCTATTAATACAGCCTCTCACTGACCTGGAACTCTCCAAGTAGGCTAGGCTGACTGTCCAGGCAGCCTCAGGAATTCACCACCTTCTCTGCCTCCCCAGAACCAGGGGTACAAATGAAACACAGCTTTTTTTTCCTGCTCAGGTCCTCCTGCGTGAGCAGCAAACACTCTACCAACTGGGCCGTCTCCTATCTCCTTGGTCTGTCTCCTCCTCCACACTTTTGTTTTTTTAAGAGATTAGAAGATCAGGAACGGAAAGCTTGAGTGAGTGTGTCGTACTTGGTGTCTCGGGGTTTCTCTCGATGTGCTGAAACACCATGACTAAGAGCAGCTTGGGAAAGAAAGGGTTTGTTGTATCTTACATTTTCACAGTCAAATCAAATCTTCCATCATCAAAGGAGGTCAGGACAGAAACTCAAGGAGGGAACCTGGACACAGGAGCTGATGCAGAGCCCTTGGAGGAGTGCTGCTTACTGGCTTGCTCTTCTTAGCTTGCTCAACCTGCTTTCTTCTAGCACCCAGGAGTGGTCCAGTCCATAATGGGCCATATCAATCACCAATTAAGAAAATGCACCTCACCCACCAGCCAATACGGTGGAGACATTTTCTCAATTGACAGTCCCTCTTCTGAAATGACTCTAACTTGTGTTAAGTTGATATAAAACTAGCCAGTGCAGTTGGTGTTCCAGTAACTAAGCTGTGTTTATCTCTGTTTGCCATGGTAACCTTTCCCTTACTGAGTTCCACTGGCAACCTGATTTCTCTCATGGCAACCTTCCACTTGATAAATCACTGGCCAGTGAAAGCCCAGAACAGAGGGTGACTCATCCACTGTACGGAATTGCTCTCAATTGTTTAGTGAGTTTGTCTTCTTTTTCCCCTGGACACTTCACTTCAGTCTACACAAGAACCTGGCCCAGGGAGGTAGGGATGGTGTCTGATCTCTGATTCCATTAGTCGCATACAAGCTCCTGGGATGACAATGGCATTTACCTCTCAGGGTCACTTGAGGACTAAGTAAAACAATGATTTAAAAAAAAAAAAAAACTCTCAGAAAAGCACCTCCATGTTCAATACAGGCATCTGGTGGACCCCTAAACCTCAAGTTGCCTCAGGTGCTTCCTTTTTTCTTTATACTATTGATTATACAATTAATTGTCAAGTTCAGTCTCTCCTCTCCCTTTCCAGCCTGCGGCAGAGCCTTAACCCTCCTTCAGGCCTTGACTTTTGGCTTAATTATCAGGACAGCCTCTCAAGAAGCTGCTCGCCTCTCAACACAGCCCCAGGTAATCCTTTATAACGATACATACTCGGTGACAAAGACCTGCTCTGTGCACAACTCAAGAGGTTAGTGCTCAATGCATTCTTGCCCAAAACTTTTTTTTTCCAAAGAAAAGAAGTTTAAAGATCAAAAATTTTCAGAAATACAGCCTGACTTCTGTCCTAGATGTTCCCCCATCACACTTATCCCTTGTCTTTTTAGAACAGAACCTTGCTCTTCAGCCTGTGCTGGCCAGGCTGACCACAAACCATTTGGGGATTACAGGCAGTTAGCATCACACCTGCATCTAGACTTTCACAAAGTCCTTGAGACTTGAGAGAGGTATTCAGAGATGAGTATCAGTCAGGGACAAAAACCCGTGTGATCACCAGAATGGAAACTGTAACATCCACTTGTCAGGTCATTTCTGGTTCACAGTCCTGTAATCTCCTTGAGACTCAGGGTAAGGTCCGAAAGATCCTTTGTTCTCATTTCATAGCTTAGGAATTCGGACATGACCCAAGTAGAGCTAAGAGGCATGAGGACTGGGTACGGGGAGCCCACTGGTGCACTAAGGGTGTGTCTGAATTTCCATTCTGTGTCCTGACCAGCCCAAAGCCAGGATAAAAGTAGGCAAGAGGACAGAGGTGCCCCTTTCCTGCACTAAACTGCGCAGGGAAGCGGTTTGGCTGGCATCAGGGTAGGGTTGCCTCAGCAGGACCGGGCTCCGATCCCTCCCACTTACGCCTTCTTGATCTGGGCATCCTCTGAGTTGCGAGTGACCTGGAGCACAGCATAGTAATCTACCCCCATGGCTGGTAGGAGTAGATCAGTTTTTCCTCAGACTTCAGCCTCTGTTAGTCTGCGTTTTATGGTTGCCCCTGGCAACCACGAGGCGCACTCTGGGAATTGTAGTCTTTCCTTCTTGAACAAATGGCCCTGCGGTGCTCACAGCTGGTTCTGTGACCCCATAAAGGTCACACATCTCAGAAACCGGAGTCCCTGAACACTTTTTTGTTTATTTTTTAGCACAGCAACTGCCGAGAATTTAAAATTTTCAGAACAAAGCCGGGTGTAGTGGTGCAACACCTTTAAATCCAGCTCTCAGCACAGGCAGTTGGATCTCTGGGGGCTGAAGACTAGCCTGATCTGCGTAGTGAATTCATTGTGAGTCAGAGGTCGTTCAGACAGTCACCAGTGTGACTCAAGTTTTAGTTTTAGTAAATTAGTAAACTTTAGAGGCTTTTTATTAAAAAGAGCCTGGCCAGGACAAACTAGGGTGTTCTCTAAGTAAGGTCCCGGTTATTATCAGTCAAAGGATTATAAAGGCAAAACCCACAATGTTATAGTTTGGGGGAGTCAAATTAACTCATATCTTGTCTGGGTATGGGCAAGGTTTAATTTTGGTTTGGTTTTTTTTTTTTGTTTTGTTTTGTTTCTTTTCAAGACAGGGTTTCTCTGTGTAGTCCTGGCTATCTTGGAACTTGCTCTGTAGACCAGGCTGGCCTCCAACTCAGAGATCTGCTGTCTCAGACTCCCCAGGGATTAAAGGTGAGTGCCACCACCGCCTGGCTAAGGCTTGATTTTTGTAACAGGCATCCAGCACCCAAGCATACAAAAGCAGAATTTAGCAGTTAGCCTGTTTAATCTTGTGACCCATTTATCTTGTAGGAATAGCTGGGGCAGTGATGCATTTTGTAACAATCAGAATTTTTTTAAGAATAGTCCAACTGCACCAGGAAGTGATCCATGTCCCGACAGGGAACATTCAAGATAGTAGTAACTTCCTCACAGATTACACAAGTTAAAAACATTTTGTTTTCACAAACCTAGCACAAGTAAATTTGTCCTCTAAACATAATGTTCACTATCACAAGTTCCAGAACATCCAGAGCTAAATAGTAAGACCTTGTCTTTTAAAAAAAAAGGGGAGGATTATTTATTTTTTTTATTTCGTTTTTCAGAACAAGCTGCGTATGATGGCTCACACCTATGATCCAAGCTGAGGCTGAGGAAAGAGGACTGCCCTGAGTTTGAGGCCAGCCTGGGCTACACAATGAGGGTGGAACTTGCTTTGGCATTGGAGTCTTTTCTCTAAAAACAAATTTATTTGACATAGTTTTTAAAATTGTAGAATAGTTTTGGTTTTTCAGAAAAACAAGGAAGATTAAAATGCTCTCATATAAACTGAGCGTTGGTGGTGCACACTTTTAATCCCAGCACTCAGGAGGCAGAGGCAGGTGGATCTCTGTGAGATCGAGGCCAGCCTGGTCTACAGAGCGAATTCCAGGACAGCCTCCAAAGCAATACAGAGAAACCCTGTCTCTAAAAACAAAACAAAATGTTCTCATAATACCCTACACACAGTCTACCCTATCTTACATTAGAGCGGTCTATTTTCTGGGGGCTGGAGAGATATCACAGTAGTTAAGAGCATGTATTGTGCTTGTACAGAACCTGAGCCAGACCTGAGCTCAGTTCCCAGCACCCACACTGGGCAGCTCATAACCTCTGGTAACCTCAGTTTCGGGGGATCCCACACCCTCTCCTGTCTTCCATGGTCAACTGTACTCACCTGCACATAGCCACACACAGAAATCCATCTTACTTTTTTGAGGCAGGGAGTTCAGTGCGAGTCTGACCAGCAGGTCTCCCATTCCTCCTCTCTCTACCTTCCAACGAGGAGCTTCCAGGCACACACTAACCTGCTCAACTCTTTACATGGTGCTGGGGATCTGAACTCAGAACCTCATGGTTATGGGGCAAGCACTTTACTCATTGAGCCACCTCTCCAATCCCGTTTTTAAAAACGCTTTAACATTTACTTTGCACTGGAGCATACGTATGAGTATGTGTGTGGGGGATGCGTGGGTAGGTACTCAACATGCAGAGGCTGGTCCTCTCTGTCTGTCATGTGGGCTCTAAGGACCAGCCCGTGTCATCAAGTGGGGCAGCAAGTTCCCTTGCTCACTGAACCATCGTGATGAGACCACTCGCCACCTTTTTATAGTCTCACTGGCCCTTGATGTGAGACCAGGTTAGTTATAAACTAGCTCTCGCCCTCTGCCCCTGTGTTCCAACTGCTGGGATTACAGGTGCACATCACGTTTTGTGTTATTCTTGTAAAATTTCCTGCAAGACTGAGACCGTTTAGAAGTAATAGATATGCACAAAAAGACGTGTTCCCCAAAGAAACCTTTATCTATGGTGAGGACTTTGGCAAGGCGTGAAAGGCAACACAGGAGGCATTTCTCACCAGAAGTCACAAGGGGGCGCTGGAAAGCCGAGAAACAGGTCTTCGCAGCTGACTCCGCAGCTTCTTCACAGTGGACAAAAGGACAGAGAACCAGGGACCTGTCACAACCAGGACTTCAACTCTAGAGACCTTATGAGTGGTGTGGGGGCTGGAGAGACGACTCAGTGGTGAAGAGCACTTGATGTTCTTGCAGAGGATCTGAGTTTGATTGCTATCACTTACTGCCTTAGATAGGGCTTTATCGCTGTGAAGATACCATGACCACAGCAACTCTTACAAAGGAAAACATTTAATTGGGTTGGCTTACAGTTCAGAGTTTTAGTCCATTATTGTCCTGGTGGGATGCTTGGTGGCATGCAGGCAGATGTGGTGCTGAAGAAGCTAAGAATTCTACATCAGGATCCACAGGCAACAGGAAGAGACTGAGACACACTAGGCCTGGATGGAGCTTCTGAGACCTCAAATCCCACCCCTAGTGACACACTTCCTCCAAAAGGCCACACCTACTCCAACAGGGCTACACCTCCTAGAGTGCCACTCCCTATGGCCTATGGGGGCCATTTTCATTCAAGCCACCACACCCACATTAGCCATCTCATACCAATTCCAAGGGAATCCAATGCCTCTGGCCTCTGTGGGTACCTACATGCACTCACATACCACAAACACATTTTAAATAATTCTTTTTAGAAAGGTGTGTGTGTAGTTGGGCGGTGGTGGCACACACCTTTTATCCCAGCACTTGGGAGGAAGATCTCTGTGATTTTAAGGTTAACCTACTCTACAGAGCTAGTTCTAGAACAGCCAAGGCTACACCAAGAAACCTGGCCTCAAAAGTAAATAAACAGATAGATAAATAAATCAATAAGTAGGTAAATAGATAAATGAATAAATAAGTAAATAAATAAATGGTGTGGGTGTGTTGTGATGGCCATGTGGGAGACTAAGCTTTAGAACAGGAACTCACAGTCACTGGCTATATGGATTACACCAATGCCACCCTCATCTTGTTTCCTGTCTTGTTTCTGAAGGAACCCCCCCCCCCCGAAGCTCGGGCCTCCAGGATCTCAGCCCAGGACCGAGGTCACCCCAATTACCAGGCAGAGTCCGAAAGCTTGATGAAAACTGCATGAGGCTTTATTATAGTTGTTTAACGAGCTAACCCCATGTTAGCTCGGGTCTTTCATCCACCCACCATGGAGGATGGCTAGAAAAGACCCTGCAAAGCGTCTGCATAGAGATCTTATAGGGCAGCATAAGGGGAGTGTCTAGGGATACGCACAGGCTCAGGATTGGTGTGCCTCCAGGCTTGTAGTGTTTGCCCTGTGTTGATTGGTCAACTGGTTAAGGCCCATAGGCCCTCCCAGGGTGGTTGCTATGCTCTGCCTGTCATTGCTGTGCACTTGTCCGTAAAGCACACCCAAAGCACATCCAGAGCCGTAAAGCATAGCACCACAGCTAACTTCTGATTGGTTCCTTGCCACGAGGCAGGCATCTGACCTCCTAGTGACCAAGGCAAGGTAAGGCAAGCACGTGTTTGGATGTTATGGCTGCTGAAATAGGGAGCTGGTCCCTTCAGTTTCTAATTTGATAACATACTTAAATACCTTAAAGTTGGCAGTGAAATCTCAGATTTATGTAGCATTTTGTACCTAGTAGTTTTTGTTTGTTTGTATGTTTTTTTTAAACAAATGCCAGTATGGCCACATGTAAATTCATTTTGTTTTTGTACCAATAAGTAATATTTATAAAGTGTTCAAAAGGTGTAAAAATTGCTTGCATTATTTTGTTTTAAAAAGAAAACATGGAAACTGGAGAGATAGAGATGGCCCGGGGTTTAAGTGCTTGCTCTGTGAGGACCCTGACCTAATGTGTTAGACCCCCGGAAACTCAAGTATCCGGGGTCCCAGGCCACATTCTCGGTCACCCCAATCACCAGGCGGATTCGAGAGCTTGCTGCAAACTGCACGAGGCTTTATTGTAATTTAACGAGCTAACCCCATGTTAGCTCTGGTCTT